TGATGGGGGGAGCGCGCTTGTATGGAACAGCCGGCACTGGCTGTTTAAAACTTTTACTGTATTCTGGTCTCACGCGAGCAGAAAAAAAAATGCTGTTCATAGCGAAGGAGTCACAAGGAAGGAGTCACTTTAGGAGAACTAGATAGGTAACAAATGCCATTTAAACATATAATAAAATTTTCACTGCCTTGACTTAAAATAACAAAGTATCCAATGCAAAAACGTGGAGTTATGCTTTAATAACGGTTATTGTACAAAACATCTTGTGGTGATTATATACAGAAATGAAATTTCCTGCTTTATTAGAATAGAGATTTATTTAACTTACAGGTAAGCCTATTATTGCAGGTTCAGACTACCTGTGATTAGTCAGCTACTACAATATCCAGCATGGTTCTCCAGCCAGAAAGTGCATAATCCTGTCACAAACATCAAACACAATTCTATTTTATTACAAACAGTCATTGAGGCGCTTTATGCGACTTCTGGAAGGTGCAAAGTTCGGGGCGACTGAATGCTTTTTTACACATTGGTATAAATGTTTATAGTACAAATATGCCAGGCCCCTATTAAAAGGATCAGAAACTCCCATTTATCCCAAATGATAAATATGGACAAATATCTACATCCTGTGCTAAAAAAAAAAGGTCACAATGTAAATTGCTACATTTCTCATAATGTGTATAAAGTTACATTTTACAGAAGTATAACTGGGGTACAAATAACAACAAAACAAAAAGTATGAATGTGTATACATACTGTATATGTATATAAAAACAAAACACAATACATGTCTCATGAAAACAAGGACAGTGCAATAGAGAGAAGAAAAATTGCTAGCACTCATCCTTCAAGTGGACTGATACTTTGTATCACAAGGTGCTTCAGATTCCGCCATTGTGCTGGAGAACGGAATAGACATAGGGTCAAGTGCAGAAAATTCTACTACCAAATGGGCAAATCGAAGGGAGGAGAGAAGATGGCTCATACTGCCAAATTGGTAAAAAATAAATAAATAAAGGAAGCCACGGACACATAACTTCTAAATAAATGTACACAAACCCACACTGCCATCTGTACAAAAAATTATTGTTGCCCATATTGACTTACCACAGATATCGATTTATGGAAACTGGAAAAAATATAACAACCAATCAGGCATCCCTTTCAAATATAACAAGGAATCTGGCTGCTCTGGGCAACTTTTCACATCAGATCCATTTTTTAAAAAGATTGCTCTTGCTGAAACAATGTTGGTTGCTATGAACATCAATTTCCTTTAAAAACACTTCTTGTACATGAAAACCCACAATGCTCAGTATACAAACACTGACTACATGGAATCAACTCTCCTACAGACCATTCGGCACTTTTTAATATGTTTGTGTTGGGTAACCTCCTACTTTCTCGATATTCCCTTTTACTGATGACTTTGGGAACATCCTCTCCTCTGCTCCAGGCCCCTTTGGTTGGGTAGAGAATGTTCAGATGTGGTAGATTCTGGGGGTGTGGTTCATCCCTTGTCATGATTTGTGGGCGTCTTCTCACCACCCCTCTGAAAAACAAGAGAGGTGACAGGTGCATTCAACATAGAAATTAGGGTGAAGTCTGAATTTTCTCCTACATACTAAAGATTTGTTTTGACTACTCTACCACTTTCTAACTCACTTTAACACTGTTTGCCAATTATTGTGAATGGTGGCCTCTAGAAATGGACTTGTTCCCTCGGATTTCAATGGCAAACTATGAGTTTTAAACCGGTTTTGACACTCTTCCATTAAATTAGATGTAAAGACAATACTTTTCTAGTTATAGATAGAATGGGGAAGGCTTAGACCCTCTGTGAAGTTGTATCCATTAGGGAGGCTAATTCAATAGGGTGAAAAACAACATTTTGGAATAGTCACTAGAATAAGTGTCACCTGCTCAGGTGACAACTGATTAAGGAGGGGAACGCCCCTCAATTTGTGAGATTTCCTTTATCTTCCCGTGGCATCTGTGGAACACGAAGTGAAGGAAATCTCCCCAATGGCACAAGACAACAGAAAATAACTGTTAACCCTTACCTACTCTATCCCAAACTAAAAGAAAAAGTTTGGGCTTTACATACACTTTAGTGACATCATATGAAGGAAATGAAAGCTTCTGCTGTTGTACACAGCTTTTTTTTTTTTTTTTAGAAATGTCTCCATGTTTTTTGTGAAATATGCAGATTAACAGAGTTTCCCTACACACAGATTTATTGCATTTTTCTGACCCACTGCTCACGCTACAGTCACATGCCCAATAATGCCACTAGCCAATCAGTGGACTTGTGGATGCAACTCATCACATAATAAATGCATACATACATGGTCAAATTGATTGTTAGATGAAGATAAACTCCAGTAATTTGTTACAGTACAACTCACATAATTTACCTGTAATGAAGTGTATCCTACGTGTGGATGGCTGCTACTAACTACACATAATTCTCCCTTCAGGGATGCTAGATCCTGGACACAGCCAATGGATGATGGCAGGATGAAACCATTCTTTAAAAATAATAAAAGGAGGGGAATTTATCCACTCTTGTAGATAGCAACAAGAATGCACTCAGTGAAAGGAGGAGGAATATCGATGATCGGATTTGTTCGAGAAAAGCCGAAGTATAAGGCTCAATGGCTGCCACATCACGGACAAGACAGACAAGGATTCTGAGGTACAAAACCTAGAGGCAGACTTAAGGTGCCCATACACTGTTCCATCGCAGGACAAAGGTCTTGCGATGGTCGTAAGGTGTATGGGCACCTTAGGACCTCAAAAACCAAACAGTCATTAAATGTGCCTATAAAAAAACAATATGACCATTCCTGGGGCACCCCAAAGAAGTAAAGGCAGACAGTATTCCAGACTTTCCTGTAGGTGTGGTAACGTTACAGGAAGACTAATGGGGGCTGAAAACCTAATATGAGATTACTCGCAGGCTGGAAATAGAGCACTTATTTCCAGTAATAATAAATCCCCTCGCAGCATGCCACAGGCAAGTGGTGAATACAGACCGTTCCGTGAAGAGCCTGGTAGAGCTTGCCCCAGTAGTGTGGAAGAGAAAGGCCAGACATACACACAGCACCCCGGATGCCTCACAGCGCTCATGCAAAGGTATCAGGAGCTCGGTGCGTCCAGCAGTTGGCGCTACAAAAGGAACAAACATAGTGCTGGAGGAAGTGACATCACAGGAAGTGTCGGCAGAAGCCTATAGTAAACATAGAAACCATGGCTTCCAGCTCCAGTAGGCCACAAGCTGCGGCCTCAATTGCCAGGCAGCCTTATTACTTAGTGAGTGAACCCACAGGAGGAGCCCGGGAGAGCTAAATACAGGCACAGGAATTACATATAGAAAGCACTGCGATTCGAAAAGCACCCCGAGACCCTGCAGACCCCGCCACAGACCCCACAACAGATCCTGCACAGCCCACCATAGACCCGACAGAGCCCACCATAGACCCGGCAGAGCCCACCATAGACCCGGCAGAGGCCACCACAGATCCTGCAAAGCCCCCCTTGGGATCCTGCAGAGCTCACCACAGGTCCTGCACAGTCCCCCTGAGACCCTGCAGAGCCCACCAAAGACCCCACAGAGCCCACCACATATCCTGCACAGCCCACCTGAGACCCTGCAGAGCCGATCTGAGACTCTCAGGTGGGCTGTGCAGAATCAATGCTGGGCTCTGCAGGGTCCCTTTAACAGCACAGTGTGATCCTCTTACCTGCTGCTGGACCTGGCCTTCTTCACAGCCAGACCAGTGCTGCTCCCCAGCCTCCTCCACCGCTGGACCGGTAATGCGGGGACCCGGCCTCTTCTGCCACACGACCGGAGCTGTGGGGACCCGGAGCCCCCCGCCTCCTGCTCCGTTGCTTGATTAAGCAGCCGAGTCTGCCAGATCTTGTGGAGCCTGGCTCCCCCCACTGTTTTAGGGGCTGCATTTTTGCTGCCCACCTGGAAAGTGCCGCCCAAGGCCTTGCTTGTCTTGCAGTAAATATGCCCCTGCCTATCGTATCACTTGTGGTCCTCACCAATCTTTATGTGGCTGTGGTAAAAAAAAGAGGCATGCCATCTTCACCCGCCCAGGCATGTCCCTAGGGACAGGGCTTCAACATAAATCAACCATGACACTCTGAGACAACCCCACATACACAAGTGGCAAGGTGATTGCCCCACGCAGTTTCTAGTGCCCTAAGCAGGATCTAGTACCCCAAGCACACTACAAAATTACCCTGCATTTTCTATCTGGTAGGGTCCAGATAGGGTCCGCCAAAGCTATGCCGAGGAGAAAACCAATCCGCATAGCTGCTGGAGGTGCTGCAGTGGCTGTGAGCAGCAAAAAGAAAAGAGTGCAGAAACGGATGTGCTTTTCTCAAAAGCATCCATCACTCCAGGACATTAGCGAAAAACCAGGCAGGGTGGGAGTGGGAAGGGTTAAACAGGGCTATCTTAACAGCATTGATTTGCCAGTGCCCAATCACCTGAAGGTAGTTGCATAACCAATACGTTACATAATTCACTCCCTTTGCCTTGTGATGTACGATCAAAAAATGGAAGGATGAACACCTATACAGACTTCTTGATACAAAGGATGGGATTATGTAACGATACCAGGGTGGTTCTACAACTTTCACACCTCCCATTCTTTATTTGGACAATCCGATCTGCCTTGATACATTCCATGATAACTGAAGAAAGGTGCCTGTGCTACCTGTGTGGATATAAATGCTGGAGTATGTTTTCTGACACATTAGAATTGAAGAAGTGGCTTGGATAAGCTACAAAACGTCATCAACATTACAGAACAGGTCCAGTTAAATGTGACTACCTACCACTAGTGATGCTGGAGTATGTTCCTGGCACACACTAGAACAGGGGTCTCAAACCTCCGGCCCTCCAGCTGTAGTGGAACTACAAATCCCATCAGGCATTGCAAGATTCTCACAGCCACAGACATGACTCCCGAAGAGAGATGCATCATGGGATTTGCAGTTTCACCACAGCTGGAGGGTCGGAGGATTGAGACCCCTGCACTAGAACAAAGAAGTCACTCAGATGAGAGCTGAAACATGTCCAACATTACTTATTAAGTCTAGTTGAACGTGGCTAACTACTACCAGCTATACCATACCCTGGATGAATGAAAACTTTCACAGACTCACTTGTGAATATGCATTCTCACAGCCATAAGGCAAATGCATAATACAATGTCATTGTTTATTTTATTTAGCTAACCATGTAAAAAAACAGGTAGATGTAAACAACGTAATCAATACACAGTATGTTAATATTTTAAAAAACCTGTTCTACTGTATAATTTGTAATTACATTACAAATGTACAGGCTTACATTATTTGCTTATTACATATGCACACTCTACACCAGGGGTGCCCATTAGGTAGATCGTGATCTACCAGTAGCTCTCAAAGCTGATGCTGGTAGATCACGAAGGGTGTGAATGGCGGCCCCTTTATTCCATTTTGGTATATTTATTTAGCTGTGCACATATGATTACCTATTAGCCTGAGTCTGCTGAGCCCAGCTCCCTGACACCTTTCTGGTGGATACTGGTGGTTGAAGTGCTATGTATTACATCAAAGAATATTAGTTTACACAGCCTGTTGCACTGCACTGTTTGCAAAATACAGCAAGGTGAGCCAGGAGAGAGAGAGCGGGGAGAGACAGACAGGAGAGGGAGAGAGCAAGGAGAGACAGCCAGGAGACAGAGCAAGGAGAGACAGCCAGGAGAGCGAGGAGAGACAGCAAGGAGAGAGAGAGCAAAGAAGTTTTGTTTTTTTCCGTTGGTAGATCTCATGTAGCTCGTCATTTGAAAAGTAGATCCTAACACAAAAATTGTGGGCACCTCTGCTCTACACAATGCTTGTGCTTTATAGCTACATCTCAGAATGCAAGTCTCTTGAGTCAGCAAACTCTAGGAAACATTGTATTCTGGAGTAATACTCCTGCATTGTTGCTAGGAGTAAGGCTCTTCATAAATGTAATGGTTTCTATGACTAGCCTTACTCCTAGCAATAATACAAACATTTCATTTTAGGAGTGTTACTGGGACAAGCTTTAGAACAAACTCAGAGCTTTAAATTCACAATTTGAATCCCATCTCTGTGCAAAACTTAACCCCATACCTCATCCCAATTCCTGCAGTTATTGGGTGTGGGGGACTGGGAAATTAGCCATGGACAGCCAATAGAAAATGTCCACATTACACAAGAGGTGACATGGAAACCCAAAGAAGGGCTCCTGCCTCCAGTGCATGGAAAAAGAGAGAAGACTCGGGACTGGTTTATATAATTTAGGTGAGTAAAAAGGCTGTTAAAAGGAGAGGGTTTTTTTTTATACTGTTATGGAAATTCGTTTGGTTCAACGCACAAATCCATGCCGCACTAAACTGCGCCAAAGTATGTCAAACATGTAGAGTCAGGACACAGGAGACAGGTATTGCTTGCTTGCGAGTTCCATGCTTAGCGAGCCAGCACAGGTATTTGTTTATTGTTTTATATCTGCCCAACAGGAAGTGATGTCAGACAGGAAGTGATGTCTCACACAGCAAACCAGGAAGTGATTTCAAACAGGGAGTGATGTTAACAACCAACATCACTTCCTCAATATATAGCCAGTCAATAGGGTTGCCACCTGTCCAGGATTCACCCGGACAGTTCGGGTTTTGAATGCTGTGTCCAGGTTTCGTGGCAGCAGAAACCCGGACACAAGACGTCAGGCAGACAGGGGCAACCAAAATTAACATGGGGGCTACTGGCCCCCCATTGAAAATAGTCTCAACTGTGATATTTATATATGAATGAGTGGCGCTATTTACATATGAATAAGCCACAACTCATTCTCCCCCAAAAATGTAAGCGTGTCATAGAGTGTACGGGTTTTGCTTGGAGAAAAGGTGGCAACCCTACCAGTCAACAAAGCACATGTAGTAGAAGTGGTGTGCACAGAATTAAACCAGTGTGCACAGAATTAAACCCGTTTGCACAGCCACATGTTTTTCTAGCCACCATCTTTCCAGACCCACAAACACAATCTCTTATTAGCACTGGAGCGAACTTTATCCAGCATTGCTCAGTGATCAATGCCCAATAACGTTACTATGATTCTCATGCGTGCTTATTTACAGGGACAACATCATATTATCTCCAGCGGTTGATCAGGCGCACTAGAGACAACAAACGCACGTTCCTTTCATAAAGGCAGATATATATCTTAAATAATACTATGTCCTCAAAGCAAGTTAAGGACATAGTATTAAAAAAACTAAGTTTACTCTTAAGCCCCGTTCACATTGAGCGATTTATCGCGCGGTAATTCCCGCGATATCGCGGCAAATTACCGCGCGATATCGCGCTCCAATGCATTTCAATGGGGCAAAGGGTCCTGCTGTCGCGGGTCGTGTGTCGCTACAGCAGGACCCTTTTTGGAGTGGATTTAGCCGCGATTCAAGCTTGCTCAATGCAAGCTTGAACGCGATATCGCGCGGCAAATGTCGCGCAATATGCAAATCGCACGACAAACGTGCGATTTGCATATCGCGCAGTGGGAACGGGGCCTTAGTGGGGATTTAAACCGGGTCACGCTCCAATTGACACAGCAAACCCTGACACGGAGAGACATAATGACAAAATATTACAATACACTAAAAACACATCCTAATAACATTTCCACAACAATACCATGATCTATTTGGAGTGTTTTACAGAAGACAACATTGCGTTTTATTAGGTTTATGACTGAGCAGTTGGGAGGTTGGGGCATTTGTTTTTTTTAAATTTAAGACTGAACTCCAATAAACATTTTTATTTTAGAAACAGCACAAGTTAAGTAAGTAATAAGTATAGTGGGTGCGAATGACTGCTGCTTCATATAAAAATCATACCTTGCTACCTATTCATACAAGCTTGTAAAAGAAATAAACACACAAACAAGGGCACATCAATAGAAAACGGACAAGGGTTCTAACCACTCTATCCACTACTAAAAAAATAAATAAGTTTGGCTTTATATATACATAAACGGAATGCCTAATTATGACTGTATTAAATACACTTGTTTGGTTATTACGGTTTACTGCAAATGATCACTGTGTATTGCAGATGGCACTGCACAAGTCCATTTAATGCTTTCAGATCCTTCAACAAATTACTATTTTCTATCAGGGACACTTCAGCTCTCTAACCCTTACCTCGCCTTGAGATCCCAGGAAAGGAGGGGCTTGTGCAGTAAGGATGGGTGGGGTAGGTGAAGATGCCATAGTGCTACATGTTGATGTCACAGGAAGCAGAGGTGGGGCAGGTGGCGTCATAAGACGCTGGAGGTCCCTCCGCTGCTGAAGGTGCTGGACAATTTGATACAAGACATTTTGCTGATCCTGGGCAAAATAAAAAAGCAAATTATAAATATATGTTTATCGAATTGAAACTATTATTAGCAGTATGCAGCATTTAGCAAAAAGGCAGACAAACAAACGTCCACAATACGAATAAATGTGACTCCTCTGGAAAAACCTGCAACCAAACACAGCTGCAAATGGATTCTTGTTACTAGTTTTTATTCCTCATTGCTCTATTAATTACTGCCACTATGTTTAGAACAGGAAATTGAGCTTACCACAGTAAGATGAGCAGTTGTGATCTGCTGTAACTGCTGTGCTAGCTGCCTCTGCTGCTCTGACAGTGTGTTCAGAGGGGACAGGCTGTGGAGCGGAAAGAAAACAAAACATGAAAAACATCATGGTTTAATGCAGTAGCATAAGAAGCGGGTTAGATGTCTGAATTTTAAAAGGGACATTCAACACCTATTACAAATATTGCAAAAAATTGGACTTTTGTACTCAGTGTAAAATCATTTACTTGAAGTCTATTAAAGCGACACAGGAAGTCTTCACCTTCGGGTTATACTGCTCCCTGCATGAGGACTGGACATGGGCAATCAAAAAACTTTAGGCCAGGCCACGATAACCCCTAATATCACAATCCATTCGTTTTGTAGCAAGCACTACCCTAAACACCAAGGGGTGAGTCCCTCAATGGACTCTAAGAAAAGGATTTTACACTGAGTACAAAAATTATTTTTTTTCTTGGCCATTGAGGGACACAGGAAGTCCTCACATTTGGAACATCCAAAAGGACTCTGAGCGGTGGACAATAGCAAACAACCATTAACAGGTCCAGGAAGAACTATGGACTGGCTTGAGCCACCTAAGGCTGGGTTCACAAATATGCACGCTTGTCGTGCGTTTCGTGTCGCACGTTTGTCACGCGATTTGCGTAAAAAAACGTGCGACAAACGCGCGTTTCCGAGGGCTACTACGGCCTGCAATATGCCCAGGTGTGAACCATACCCATAGGAAATAATAGGATTTCGGTGTTTGAGCGTTTTGCAAAGCGTTCGAACGCGCTACAAAACGCCCAGGTGTGAACCGGGCCTAATGGATCAACACCTGAAACAGGTACTGGATAAGGCCGAATCCTCTCACTGGTAAATGGAACATAAAAACAAGAAAAAAAACAAGAAAACATTAAGGCTGGGTTCACACCTAGGCGTATCGAATATGCGCGTTCGTCGCGCATTTCCGAGGGCTACTTGGCTGTATCCCAATGGAAACGCGCAACAAAAACGCCCCAAAGAAGCTCCTGTACTTCTTTGGGCATAGGACGTTTTGTAGCGCGTTCGAACGCTCTGCAAAACGCTCAAACACCGAAATCCCATTATTTTCTATAGATATGGTTCACACCTGGGCGTTTTGTAGCGCGTTCATACGGCCTGTAATACGCCCAGGTGTGAACCATATCTATAGGAAATAATGGGATTGCGGTGTTTGAGCGTTTTGCAGAGCGTTCGAACGCGCTACAAAACGACCAGATGTGAACCGGGCCTAACAAAAGCAAATGGTAGCATGGAGAACTACAGCTGATGCCAGACAACCAAGAAGAATGGCCACATAGCTAGTGAGAAAATACTAAACCATAAACCCTAAATGTGAAAATTGATCTATCTGATCCAAGCAGAAGGGTGGAACAAAAAATGATTTCCCAACAGAGAAAGGACTCACATTCTGAACCGTGGACCAGACAGAGGAATCTGAGAACAAAGTCATGGCAGAGGGAAGGTCAGAGCTGCTCTGAGCAGAGAAGACCCAAACCTCAACTAACCTTTCTCATAAGGTTCAAGAGAAAAAGAGGGTCCATACGTGGAAGCATTGTCAGGACAGACATTCACCTTGCCAAGGCAATTACTGTCAGGGAAGGACCCAGAGGATGATTTAAGTCAGAAGTACCTCCAAGAACCATAACAGTGGATCCTGAACCCACCTAGAGAACTAAGGTTCAGTCCCAAGGAGTCAGCATGACCAAATAGGGCAAGGTACAAAGAAAGTTCCCATACAAGGTTTAAGCAGAGGATAGAAGGTAGATCTCCTTACCAAAATGTAACAAGAAAGAAAGCAAACCAGGGGCGAAGCCCTAAAAGTAAATATCCTGCCTATCCAGGATCCTCAAAGAGTCACAGGACTGGAGATGCTTCTGATTCAACAGGTGATTCATAACAGTCAGCGAAGCAATGGTCAGGAATCTTATCAAGGCAGCAAAGAACATTTTCCTAGGTAAAGTCAAAGCAAGGAAGATCACCAGAAAGGCCTTCCTCTCGAGTCTGCAAAAACAATAAAGCAGGCAAGACCTAGACTAGGGCATGCAGATCCTACAGATTAATTCAAGCATTCCTTGCTATTGCCAGAGAGTTCCTGTATCAGGAAACTAGTTTGTTCAGCACATAAGTGGTCCAGGGTAACATGGAGCCCCCCTTACGACATTCTCCATCTGCAACGCAGGATCTATAACACACTCTGGTGCTTGTACCACTCCTCAATGTCTAAGCAACCAGTTGGGAAAAACTGGCCTCTAGAAGACCACACTTGAGCAGAGCAAACAGGACTAGATCACACAGTTTCATCCAAGACAGTATTCAAACTACCTTTATTGTCAAAATAAGATCTCCTTGATGTTAAAGTCACGCCAGCACAGTAGCGTTGTTCAACATTATCCGCATCAGGAGACGTGAGCAGGAAGTGATCCCATGATGTAGGAGGAAACACCTGTTCTAAAACGCCAGACTGTAGACCAGAAGGTGAAGATTCTCTGAAGACAGAGCCTTCCAGAAGGCCAAATAAGAAGTCTTTTCCAACCCTAAAACTGTAAGACTGATCCACCAGGCTAGAAACGACCTGATTCTTAGAGGCAGACAATTAAGTCTGCTCAAAAATGTTATTTACAACAGCAAAGGGAAGGGCTGAGGTAGTCTGAGAAGAGACTGTAGAAAAGGGGGTGCCTTGGAGAGGGTAACCCCACAACACACGTATCTTCTGCAACACCTGAGAGATGGGTAACTCCCTAACCGAGGAAAAAGGACATGAGAGCAACTGTGCTGCAGCTTTTTCTTCCAAAGAAGCAGTCTGGTTTAAACTGCCTGCTGGCAGGAAAAAACTTCCAGTACCGAATTCAGACAATACAAAGACCAGCCGAAGATATTTGGACCCGCAGGAAGGTGTGGCCCACTAGGGCCCATGACCACTGAGACAAACATTTACACTGTAAGAGAGAACAGTGACCAGGTTGGGATACAGCTGGGATGAGGCCAAACTAGTTCAGGTACTAGAACACGGATATTTAAGTCCAAGAGACACCCAGAGGACAGAGGTATGTCTGGCAATCTGTGCAGGGACACAAGAAGGTTGATGGTGAAGAGATGATAGGAATGTAGGGTTCAGTCTAATCTTGAGGGGACACTCTCTGCACCTAAAATCCTGACGCGCAAACTATTCGAGAGCCCGCAAGGATTACCAAATGACCACAACACAGAAAAGTGAGGGCGTACCTTCTTGATGATGAAGGCTTCATTGGGGGGTTTGGCAAGCTTCCTCTGTCTGACCTTGTGGGTGGCCAGAAAACCAGGCTTGGAAGGCCTAGACATGCCAACTCTAGGAATAGTGGAAGGGGAGGGAGGTGACTGACTTTCTCTAGACTTCTTGTCCTGAGGCAAGTGGGAGCTCTGGCCTCCAGTGAGACCACTGATGATCATGTCAACGGTAGATCCGAAGAGACGTCATTCCTTGAGGATCAAGCGGGTCAGGCGTTTCTTGGACAGTGTCAGCATTCCAGCACTTTGGCCAGAGGGTTCTGGTTCCATATGCAAAACATGCCGAGATGCTTCCAGCAGGCCATCACAGCTGAAATGTAAGGTTCCCAAACTCTGCTTCACACAGTCTAACAGGAGAGCATTCACTGCCAAAGTGGAGAGATCACTTTCGAGGGATATCAACCATTCCACTATAGTTTGACAAATTGAGGGCACAGCCAGAATATGGCACAGGGCAGGGCCCACCAGGCAAAACTGGGTTTTAAAGAGTGCTTCTAAGTGTTGGTCAGCAGAATGCCATCAAGATAGGCAGATAGGAAGGTTGCAGCTGTAGAAGTTCCTCAAGACCCAAGACTGGAGAATGCAGGCTGATCCTCCAGATCCAGAGCAGTATGTACCACATCAGTAAGAGCCAAAACAGTCTCTTTAAATCTGAAGTAATAGCAGAAGATTGCAATTCCTCAATGATAGTGCTGTTAGGAAGAGACTGAGGTGATCCAGAATTAAAGACAGAACTGGTCACTGCGACTGATGGCCCAGCTACCTTTAAGGCTGAAGAAGCATGCTTAAGGGCCTCTGTGGTCAAACAAGGGGGGAACTGGGTGAATTTGGCCACAAATTGCATGTCTATAGTAGAGACCCTGTTTTATATTCCAGAGGCCTCATTTGGCGGGGCTAAGAAGGACTCAGATGACAAAGTACATAGTTACATAGTATTTGAGGTTGAATAAAGACATAAGTCCATCACGTCCAACCTATTGCGTATATGCATTTATGTTTGAGCAGGTGTGTGCGTGTATATGAGTCCATGTGTACTGGTACCCCTTTATGTTACGGTCTCCAAGGAACTTGTCCAGGAGTTTCTTGAATGATTCCACACTCTTAGCGGAAATCACTTCCTGCGGCAGCGAGTTCCAGACCCTAACCATTCTAACTGTGAAGAACCCCTTGCGCTCCCCGTGTGTTGAAATTTTATTTCTACCAATCTTTGGTGGTGCTCTCTTATCTTGGTTACGGAGCTAACCGTAAACAGTTTGTTAATAATGTTGCTGTCGCCGTTGAACAGTTTATACAAGAAAATCATGTCCCCCCTTAAGCTCCTAACCTCCAACGAGAACATATTTAATTTTAGCAATCTTGCTTAATAGTTCAGGTCCTCTAACCCCTTAATGAGTTTGGTTGCCCTCCGCTGAATTTTTTCCAGCTTGGGGACTGGAAAAAGGGTAACAGGACTTCAGATAGCAAGTGCTGGTGCCTTCAGGAGTGCCATTAGGAGAGTGTTAGCTGGGGTCAACTGTTGCAGCAGGACTGTCCCATGTCTAAATACAGACATGTTGCAACAGCATGGTTGTAAGGCAACAAAGCTCAGAGTAGAGGTCAAGGCTTTAGGTACTCAGGAAAACCCGGAAAGCTTGTAGCCAGTAAGGGTCAGCTGGCTAGAGGTGATCAGAGTCCCTGTAAGTGGCCAATAGGGACAGATCAGAGATTGCAGTTATAATCACCAATCCCCAACTCTCAGTCCCTCAGCGTTAACCCTTTCCACGGTAAGAGCTGGCAGAATGCAAG